TGTGGTTTCAATTTTCTAATTTTATTTTCGGATTTCCATTTTTGTGAGCTGAACGAATTTGTTTATTTGGTTGCATGTTGCTTCTCCTGCTTTGCATTATCATCTGGTTATGGTAGTAAATTTTCGGTTGCAAATTGTTGATTTTGCTGCCAAATTTTTTAGGGAATGTAATAATTTAAGCCAGTTCTACCTTTAATTCAACAATTCACCAATCAGTATGTATGTATGAATATATATATACTAAGCAATTTTGGGTTGAGCGTGACCAAGTCTACCTTTTATCCATATATATATATATATATTCATGTATGTATGAATACATGTACTGAGCAATTTTGGGAATGCTTTTATCTCTCTGAGTTCATAAAGGACTTGCTTGATTTAGCCGAAGAAATTTAGACAATTTATATGTCGAATTGGAAATAGATGGAGGGATTGACAATTTGGGAATGCTGAGATGCTTATGAGGCAATTCCCCTTGTTACTATATGTAACTCTTTGATATTAGCAGGGAAAGTATGTGAAACAAACCACATTGTTATGATTCCCTTGTTACTATCTTCATGCATAGACTGCCAAAAGGTCATTCTGAATTTTCATCATCATTAACTGTTTCACTTGCAATGTCACTAGCTTCGGGAGTTTCCTCAAGGAATTTGTTTTGGTACTCAAGTTTTGTTGGACTCTCCTTGATGATGTCTTCTGACCCAATTTCAAGATATACTTTGAATATATCAGGATTTCCTACTACCGACAAGTGTGTCTCATCTGTTTGTGTGATAAGTGGAGTGTTTGGTTTACCAGGGGCCTCATTTGCCTTCTTCCGTACTTCAATTCCAGCTTTTTCTTCATGATCATTTGTCACATATGTCTTTTGTAGCTTGTCCTCAACACACTCTTTAGCTTCCAAGGTTGCTTCATCATTCTTAATGTTAGGACTTGCAACTATTGTTGAGATGAAGTCATTCTCTGTATTTTTATCATGGTTGAGTATTGATTTTGAGTGGTGTGGAGTTGTACACTTTTATCGTACCTATTATGCAAATGAAATGATGTAGTTGTTAACTTCCAGTAAGTGGTATGAATAGTTGTTATATTGTTCATACCCTGTAATTGAGTTGATTTCTATAACATAGTATTAACAGTGTACTTTTATGACATAGTATCAACAGATGTTCAGTAACAAAGCATGCTCTATATTTTGCTCTATATATAGCTGTGCACTTGAAGTTTATGATATGCATAATATGATTTTTACTAGGAAGATAGTTCTATGACAGAGTATTAACAGTATACTTTTTTTTTCCTTGTAGAGGTATTTCCTTTTACCTTTGCGATTGTTTCTGGTGAAACTATGGACAATTGGAGGTGGTTTCTACAAAGGATATCGAATGTCTTGCTAGGCTATTTTGGATTTTTTCTGAATTTTTGGTATGAAATGGTATTAACAATGTACTTCTATGACATGGTATTAACAATGTACTTATGATATGGTATTAACAATGTATTTCAGGCTTGCAAGACTTATTTTGGGTTTTTTATTTATTTTAGTTTTTTGTGTTGGGCTTAAGTTTATCAATAGCAGTTATGTAATTTATAGGAACTTCAACACTTATTTTTTATGTAGTAAATGGATTTTGGGTGTGTTTCTAAAGTGCATTCATGTGGGTTTTTGAAAATAATTTCAGCTTTTATTTTGGGTATATTAGTGAAGTTCTCTTAATATAATCTCTTGACTTATTTCCAAGGAAAATTCACTATTATACCCAATATAGGGCCCCAAATTATTAATAAAAAAGAATGCATGAAATGGACTTTAAAAACACACCCAAAGCTCATTTACAACATAACAAAGAGGCTTCGAACTTCCTATAAATTATAAAACTGCCATTGATTTCTTAAAACAAGCCCAACCCCAAAACCTCATAAATAAAAAAACTCAAAACATTCAATAGGGGGTTTTTAGGTTCAATGGTCCCTAAACTTTGACCCGATTCGTATTTTGATCCATCAATTTCCAAAATTGTTCCCGTAGTCCTCTAACTTTAGTTTCGTTAGGACAAATGGTCATGCCGTCTATTTTGTTAACTTTTTCTGTTAAATTTGAGCATGTACATGGCACATGGTATACTATTAAGGGTCAAAATCGGAAATTGCTTCACTCTACTTCCATGTCACAGGGATTCCCAATCAGCATCCTACATCAGTATCCCTATCTAATAAAATACTTACATTTGGAAACCAATTTAAGTTTCAATTTAAAATTTTACAAATATTTTTTGCACCCATTTTCTCCTTTCTCTTTGACACCCTCTCTCTCCTCCGTCCTGTTTCTCTCTTCAATCAATCCTCCTCCATCATCACCCACACACCATATATTCCTCTTTTCCTCTTCAATCACTCATCCTTCATCACCCACACACTATCTCTATGCTTTTTTTTATCAATTTTATTTGATTGAATTATTTATTTGTGAATTCTAGAAATTTTGGACATGGTGGAGTTTGAGAAAGATTTTGGTTGGCTTGGGTTCTATGGAGGAACAATGTACACTTTAGGGAAGAAGAGGAAAAAAATGGGTGTATAAATTAAAAATAATTCAAAAATACCATTTTGTCCCTACATTTAACAGAAAATATAACAAAATTGAAATGAAAGTGAAGTTGAAGGACCACATGAATAATTTTGGAAATTGAGGGACCAAAATGTGAACCGTGTTAAAGTTTAGGGACCATTAGACTTAAAAACCCTTCAATATGGCATCAAATTAATTTAATAACAAAAATTAAATTCAATAGGGTCAGCTGTCCTTTTTTGAGTTTGTATATAGAAATTAAATAGTGTAGGATTTATCTTTATCACTAGTGTAAAAATAGGTATATAATTAAACATCTCTATTTCCAAGGGCCAGCAGATTTGGGGGTAAACAACAATTGCTAAAATTAGTTTATATATTAATAAATTAACACTATTAACTTAGGACATTCCCACACACCTAATGGACTAGAACTAAAGATTTTTGGTGTTTTGTTGATACCCAATCCTACTAGGGAGGACTACATGAGGTGAGCTTCTACAATGAGGAGTTAAAGTGAGGAGGTTATTTGAGGAGACCGATCCGACTGTCAAAACATTTAAAATATTTAAGTCCCATGATTTCTTTACATTTGTTGATGGTGAGATTTGACCTCCTCAAATAACCTCCTCACTTTAAGCCCTTATTATAGCCTTTCCGCTACATGAGTACAAAACAATTCCTCAAGGGAAAAAGCCCACGTTAGTTGAGCCCAATGAGGAACAAAGGTCAAGATGAGTCATATTGTGAATCACCTCACTCGAGTCACAAATACAACATGCGCATTGTCATGCAACCAGCCGAAGGCCTAGAGGCGTGAACTAAATTAGAGGCACACGATTGACGTTAGTATTCCCAAAAGGGGTCAACATACGTCGAAGTACCAGACTTTGAATGGTCAACCATCAACGACTCAGAATATGCCACGTTTGCTAAATACTACCATGTATTACGTTTAGTAAGCACAACCTTGGAAGTATGTATAAATTGCACTCTCTCATGAATGGAGGAAAAAAAAATCTTTGCTTGTTTGGTATAGTTTTCTCATGGTTTGGAAATGTATTTATTCCATTTCTTGTATTACAATATAACTTCCATTATAAAGTACTTCGTGATTAGCATTTCCTAGCGAAATTAGAAATTGTTTTGGAATTGGCATAAAATACGGTTACCATTACCTAGGAAAAAAAGTAGAAATTGTTTTATGATTGATATCCAGAGAAAACGCAAAGTTCAAATTTATAAAATTGAACGGTGGTGACGAAAGTGAAGTTATGGTGACGAAAGTGAAGTTATGGCGACAAAAAATGTACTTGGGAGGAATTCAATGGTTATTACACGACGATGTTTAAATTGTTCATTTTTGGAGGATCTTTCCTATTAAGAGATGCGATAATATACTAAATTTACACCCATAATACGGATACTATGATTCGAACTCAGAACCTTACCTGAGAGAGCAGTTACTCCACACCACTACACTAATGAGTCTTTTATAAGCGATGTTTAAACTTTGAATGCAAGGAAACGGAAATACAACCTTGATAAAGTAGTCTAAAATTAGTCTAATGCAAGTCTACGGAATTCAATAGTTGATGAATGATGAAAATTAAAGGCGGCTTGCCTTTGCTTACCAAAAATAATAAAAATGGAAAAAAGACAATGGCGGCTTGGCGAATATTGATCCATGATTAATGAGGTTCACGTGGAGGGATATACGTTGAGTGGGCCGTTAAATTATAATTCAAAGACCGCCAAAAAAAGTAATTACAATATAAATAAAAGAATTATTAACAAGCAACAATCGCCAGCCATTGGATAGGCTTTGAACAATTTGGTCCAACTTGGGACACTGCTGGATCTGAGCTTGAGACACCCATATATATTCCAATTGCCCATTGGCCATGGCAATTGGCAATTTGGGTGGTCTTCTTCTGTCGTGTTCATCGTCTCTCGACAGAAAAGGGAAAATGCAGGATATGCTATATTAGCTGGTCCTGGTGGCATCGATCCTTCCTTGTATAATTTTATGCCATATGCTTATAATACAAGGGAGAGAGGGAGAGAGAGAGAGAGATAGAGAGAGACCCATCTGCGCAATCAACTTACCATATTAGACAGACGATTCTTTTTCTTCTTCTTCTTCTTTGTTGGTGAAATTCAAGTGGCTTTAAATTGGGGTGGGGATTGGTGTGAGCATATGTGACATGATAAATGTCATGAGCTGGTTTGAGAAGCTGCGTTGTTCTTGTTCTTCTCCCAATCTCAGCCGCATCATTGCCTTCCTTCTCATCTTCATTCTTTATCATTCTTTCCAGTTAGTTTCCAAGATTCCTATACACCCTTCCCTTGAAAAATAATAACCAAAATCAAATTCCTTTGCTATTGGATTTCATTTCATCATTCCATTTAATTTTCCCACTTCATGCCAATCCCAATGGACCCAAAAGATTTTTTCTCTACTGATTTTCTGGAAGGTATGTTTTCTTATATTCTCCACCAATCTCTGTCTCTCTTAATTTGAAGTTGCTCTCGACATTTTGGGTTCTTGTTCTTTTTTGGCAAGCTTGATCTTTTTGGTCTGAAAACTCTATGTTTGTGTTGACCAGGCTCTATTTCGTCTCACATTGAGAGGCAGCACAATGCATGCCCTTCTGTTATTGTCATCGGTGGTGGTATATCAGGGATTGCAGCTGCACGTGTTCTCCATGATGCATCTTTTAAGGTCAGTGATTTGCAATTATTAGTATTAGATATATCTGAGGATGTTTAAACTCATGATGGGTCTTGGAAAAAATTGTATCTTGCTTGATTTCAACAATGGCTTAGCTTTACTGTCATTCTTTTGTCAGGTTATCTTGCTGGAATCACGAGACAGACTTGGTGGCCGGATTCATACTGACTACTCATTTGGTTGTCCAGTAGATATGGGAGCATCATGGTAAGTTTATTGCTCGTAAATTTTGGAAATGCAGGACCCCTCTTTACAATTTTCCTCTGCTTTTGCCAAATTGGTTGGGTATATAGCTGTACATGTCAATGAAAAAATTGCCCATAGGCAGTGCTTTGGTTCATGTGGCACTATTTAATGTGTTTTGTTGTTTAATTTGCTTGCTCTATCTGTTTTGTTTCCAATTCTCTCTGCTGCCTGATTAAAATTATCCACTGTTGCATTACAGAGAATCTTACAAACATGAAAATTTTAGTCAAAAAGAGTTTTGTGTATTCTCCATAGATGTTGGTCACCCTTGCCGAGTTTACTGTTTTCAACAATGAGAGTCTTGTTACTATTGGCATTCCCTCTTCCCTGTTCTGCCCTGTGCTTCCCATAGTTCTTTTGTCTTATGCGGACAAAACAAACACAGAAGCCTTTCTTTCTCTAGCCACTTATATATGAAAGTACGTAGAAAAATGCATATTTGCTTGCTGGGCCACCCATAAGATAGGATTCTGTGCATTCACAAGTATGAATCTGTTGTGTGAATAATCTTTAGCGTTTGCCGTGTAAATGCGTGCACAAATCTGCATGTGCGCACACAAGTAATCGCAAGGGCAATAAAGCAATAAATTTCTAGATGTCACAGAAAATGAAATGACATTGATGATGTGACTGGGATGTTGTATGGCCTTAGCATGTGAAATATTTCTACTCTGATCCTGACTAGATGTTCTTTATTGAAGATATCATAAGGAAAATAAATCCTGGCAGCAAGACACTCATTAGACTGCATCTTTGTCATATTTTGTACCTTCATGCTAGCTGAGTTGAGATGAGGGATGCTTGTATTTCCATAGCCAAATGCAATGCAATAATGTTTTATTTTTGTTCTCTCTCTCTCTCTCTCTCTCTCTCTCTCTCTCTTGTAGCCGTGCATTGCATTTGAAGAACCAAAGAAGAATTGATGGCTTTATTAACTAACAGTCTAATACTCTCTTCAATTTTATTTCAGGCTACATGGTGTTTGCAATGAGAATCCCTTGGCTCCACTGATACGCCGTCTAGGACTTACTTTATACCGTACGAGTGGTGACGACTCTGTGTTGTATGACCATGATTTGGAAAGGTAATTACATCCTTGCTGTGTTAACGAATTAATGATCTAATTGATCTAAATGAATTAATTTATGGAATTAGAAGTATCTAATTGATCTAAATGAATTAGTTTATGGAATTAGAAGTGAGATTGGTACATTCACAGAAGACCATGAAGTTTTATTTTATTTTTTATTCTTCAATTATTTTTTTGTTGTTGAAATTTTCATCTATAAGACAGTAGAAAAAATTGAATTCGTGGCTTACCTTTTGCATACTTCAAAATTTTGTCTTCCAGCACATGCAGCAATGATATTTTGATTCATAATGCAGTTACTTGTACATTCAACATAGCTTGTATATTCAGTCTGAAGTATTGTCTTGAATATCTGGATTCCCTTTCAGCTATGCACTTTTTGATATGGATGGAAGCCAAGTTCCTCAAGAGATGGTCATTGAAGTTGGTAATACTTTCAAGCAAATTCTCAAAGAGGTAGAATCTTTAAACTGAATTCTACGTGTTTTTTTTTGTTTTTTGTTTTGTTTTTGTTTTTTGTTTTTTTTTGTAAATATGAATCCAACACTGCTGAAATCTGCAAAATACTCTTGTTTAATTTCTCTAGACTGAGAAAGTACGGAATGAGAATACCGATGACATGTCTGTCTCTCAAGCAATTTCTATTGTGATGGATAGGCATCCAGAATTAAGGTATTGGAAATAAATTAAATTAGGACACATTTTATTGCAGTATGTTTCATTTTTACTGATTTTACTTCTGTCTTCTGTAGACAAAACGGACTTGCTCACGAAGTGTTACAATGGTACATATGTCGAATGGAAGCATGGTTTGCTGCAGATGCAGATGTGATATCGTTAAAAAACTGGGATCAGGTTCAATATCTAAACTTTTCTAATTACTCTTGGTGGGCTGGCCTCCTTACAATTGATTCCATGGGAAAGAGTGCAGTTTAGTAAATACCTTGGGAAAGAGTTCTCTAATGGTGAATGAATTGTACTTGATGAATAATCTGAGTTACAGTGCATGTATTTGGAACAGTATGATTACCCCTCACCTAGCTGTTCGTCTTTTGAAAATTTGATAGTTTATATTTTTATGTCATTATCAGCTCTTGAGTTCCCCACCATTCATGCAAAGAACGTGGATTTTCTAAACCCTCGCCTTCTTGATCTCCATAGGATTGATTTCACTGGTACTTGAATCTCCATAACAATTTGCTAACGACCTACTTGGCATAGAGTGGCTTTATCCTTTAAGTTTAAATGAATCCAACTAAATGAAAACTCACTTTAACTCATCTTTTCTTTTCTTTTCTTTGTTTAAAGCTTTACATGACCAGGGTGAGGAGGGAATGATTGCTTTATTTAAATAATAAACAGTTTCTACCCAGGAAGCTGAACTAGATTTAGAGCAAGCAAAGTGCCCGAGATATAGGAAGAGGATTATACACTGATAATCAATTAAAAAGACTAGTGAGTTGATCTTACTTCAGAAATATCAACCCTTTAAAAACACAAAAGTCATTAAACTATAATGCAAAATTGTTAGCTTCTTTAAGACTTCATTTTGGGAATTGAGTGTCTGTTTTGTTCTCCCAGAACGTGCTTCTAGATTTGATGTCGAATTCTTATCCCCAATGGTATTGCACTGCACATTGGGAAGCATGTCTATTATTTAAATTTATAAATCATGTCATGTTCTGGTTTCAATGGCTTGAATATTTTGAAACAAGGAGCAAGTCAAAATGCTAAAACCACTTATTCCAGTTTGCTGCAAATTCTTTCCTGGCCTTTGTGGCTCATTCAGTCTTTTACTGCCAACATTATCTACTAGTGTGATGCATTGATCAGTAGCTGTATGTCTGTGGCTCATTAAGAGAGCGAATCTTTTTTATTTTATCTTGATATATAGCCATATGTCAGCGGAAATTTTTGTGTTAGGCAGGTAATTACTGGTTGGATGCATTTTTCGTCTGGGTAATTTTGAGTTATATTTGGATGAAGGCTTACACAGTTGAGGGTCCTTGTTATACAGGAGAATGTTCTTTCTGGTGGCCATGGACTTATGGTGCAAGGCTATGACCCAATAATAAAGGCTCTTGCAGAAGATATTGATGTACGCTTGAAACACAGGTATGCGTGCTTGTACCATACCAGAAAAATGTGTTTACTTCAGTTGGTGTGGGTGCATTGTGAGTATACAAACAAAAAAATTGACATAATGCCATTGGGGTAGCGACATACATACCTTTTGATAAGGTGAAAGACATAGTAAATCGGAACTTGCATCTTCTTTGCTATGAATTTCTTAGTTATGTTTCGTAATGCCCATCCTGCCACCTTTTGTTAAATTTTAGAATTAGTTTCTTCAGTCTTTGACAAGCTTTAATTTTTGTGATTATAAGCAGGGTTACAAAGATATTAAATGGGCATAACAAGATGATGGTCACAATTGAAGACGGAAGAAACTTCATTGCTGATGCAGCTATAATAACAGTACCCCATGGTATTCTTAAAGCCAAGATGATTGAGTTCGAACCAAAGTTGCCTGAGTGGAAGGTTGATGCAATTTCGGATCTTGGGGTGGGCAATGAAAACAAAATTGCCTTGCGATTTGAAAAGGTTTTCTGGCCTAATGTAGAGCTCTTAGGTGTGGTTGCACCAACCTCTTATGCATGTGGTTATTTTCTCAATCTTCACAAGACCACAGGCCATCCGGTCCTTGTCTATATGGCTGCTGGAAGGTTTGCATACGACCTTGAAAAATTAACTGATGATGGTGCAGTTAGTTTTGTAATGTTGCAGCTTAAGAAGATGTTACCTGATGCAACTGATCCAGTAAGTTCATTAGTTTCAGCCAGTTTTTGGTCAATCTATGTATTAGTTTTTCTTGGAAATTTTGTCATATCTATCTATCAGAAATGGGACAAAATCTCTTCTCAATGAGGTGTTCTGTAGTCGATATTGATATGAATATTGTCAACTTACCTTTGATTGGTTTGTCTGTAACAGGTTCAATATCTTGTATCACGTTGGGGAACAGACCTGAATTCTCTTGGATGCTACTCATTGGATTTGGTTGGAAAGCCTGGAGATATATATGATAGGCTTCGAGCACCTTTGGGCAGTCTTTTCTTTGGAGGGGAAGCTGTTAGCATGGACCACCAAGGATCTGTGCATGGAGCTTACTCAGCTGGAGTTATAGCTGCTGAGGACTGTCAGAGACATCTTCTAAATAAATTTGGTAGACTGGAAAAGCTTCAGCATGCTTACATTACGGATGAAGTCCTCGAAGCAACAGTTCCCCTGCAAATCTCAAGGATGTGAACCATTTTACTTACACATCAAGAAAAATAATATTAATAAGGCTTTACCATTGTTGGTCTAATTCTGTCTAAAATTTCTTCCCAAACTGGGAAACACAGACGGGCTTTCTAACAGTAGGCCCCAAAATTAACATGTTAAAACGATGTTAGTTTGAAGCCCTGATTTCCCTCGATGTACCGTTGCTAGGCCGGTAAACAAATTGGATTTGAGGTGAAGTGATATATTCCAAGTTCGAATCAATTTATAATGGGATTATTGAATTCTGATTATATTCGAATGATCGATCTCATTTTTTCACAAGCGATATTGGAGAATTAGCCATGCACCTCTTGACATAAGACTCTGTGTGTTTGTACAAATTTCCCCACGAGAATATTCGATTGGAAATATTCCCTTTTCTTCTTCGCCGCCTCCTTCTCCCTGCAAAATAGAACCAATAAGAGGACCACACCCGGGGGGTGTTGGCCAAAGGCCCTCCGATGCCTAAATTAGTTCAATTGAATCATATAGAAAACAATAGCTAATAGGGTACGGAGATGTGTTTATGGTATAAACCGGGCGGCCGTAGCCTTATGTAAAAGAGAGAGAGAAAGGAGGTGGCTAGGGTTTGAGAGGAATTTTCTGCAGAGTTTCAGTAGGGATTTCAGACGTACCTTAACCCTTGTGTGTGGCCATCCTTTTATAGTTGTCTTGGAGGCTAGGGTTTCAAAGAAATAATTCCGTAGATGGAAGGGAATTATTCCTCCCCTTTTTGGAATTGATTTGATTAATTAGAGATTTGATTAATTAGGGTAAATCAAATCCCTAATTGTGGTAGGTATCAAATCAAATCCCATTTTAATTAGGTAACTCCTCATTTAATTGGGAATCGGGGTAGGAATCAAATCAATTCTCAACCCAATTAGGTAATCTTCAATTTAATTGGGTAATCCCCAATTGAATTGAGTAACTCCCAATTAGGTTGATTAGTTCCCAATTAGGTCAAATAATCCCCAAATGGAATGAATCATTTGACCTAGGGTCTGATTTAATTCGGTTCCGACATTGTGCATGGGCACAAACTGGCAGTTGTGCACATCTTAACATAGGTTTTTGTGTCAAGACCTCTTAACATAGGTTAAGCTTGTGAAAACAAGCATCATGGATTCCCATCCTACATAGGAAGTCTGAAAGTTCTACAAACAAAAAAAAAAAAAAAAAAGAAAAAAAGTTAAGTTAATAAGTTAGAGGTTAAGACAATACAGACATTAGACACTAGGGCCTCTAGAATGTATGCGGTGATAATTTTAGTTTGGTTTATGTCCTATGGAAAATTAGTTGTTGCCGGCAGTGGTCACTCTCACTTCGGCGGTGGCCCCGTTCAAAATCTCCCTACATTCATTGCCAAGTTGCAGCCAAATCAATTTAAGTGGTGCAGTTTGATTTGGTTTTGATTTAAAACATTTCGAGAAACCAAACTATTAGGACCAATGCTCTTATTTTCATGTGAAATGAAACATCTCAACTTCAAACTCGAAAGTTGAGAAAAATTCATCAAACATTAATTTCAAGCACATGGAAAACCAACATTGCAGTCACCATCCTAATTTCTAAATCTCTAACATTCTAACAACATTCAACCTTTCACCAAGGTAACAAACTAATCAATAGTGCTCAAACGCTAATCGTTTAGTAAATTAATACGACACTAAACCACTCATTTGGACTCAATCCACAATGTAATCTCATGATCTATACTGTTAATTTATTAATTAGCTCATGATTCAAGGATCATTCTTACAGAGCTTCAATCAGAAATCATTTAGCAATTTGATCAGTTTGAACGATTCACAAGGTAATATTTTTTAGTTTTTGACGGGACCAAGTGATTTATATAATTTCTCCTACAAAATTATGAGAGGATCCAAACCCTATGAATAAACTACACTTGCCACTCCACATGCAGTTTAGTCAAATCTTTGGCCCACTCGAATTTTTTTTTAATTGAGAAGTTTCCAGAAAGTTAGTTAAAGGGGTTTTACAAGCAGATGCAACCTTATCGATTGAAAAAAACAAAACGAAAAAGATTTGTGAAAGAGAAATAAAAGATTGATTTTCTCTGTTTGTTTAATGAAAGGGATACATATTTGTTATAGCTTATGGGCCATCCAATTAGAAACTGAACCCCGAATTCTCATCGGCTCACAACCAGTTCACACTCTCATGCCCTCAGTGTTAGTGGGATGGGATGGGATGGATCGTGGATGCTCATCATTCTGCTGCTTCTTTCGCCCAGTCATTTGTCTTTCCTTTTGCTCCTTTCCCACGTTGCAATATTTATTTGCAGCCTCTATCGAATTGTTTTTTGTAAAAATTTAATTTCTTTATTTTATGAACCACAGACAGCAATCTCATTGCAATGAATAATAGATGGGTCATTGACCCAAAAAAAAGAGTACATAAAAATGGGTCCATCCATGTGAATAATGTCGATAGATATTTTATTTGTATTGGTACGAATTCCTTCCCGCAACTTAACTTGTGTACTTTGATATCATCACATTAGGAAAAGCCCTAGAAAAGGACACATCCTTTTTTTACGAAAATATTAACGGATTACAATAGTGAGTTTTGCATATGGAAATACATTAATCGTATTTTGTTTTTCTTCTCTCTTCATAGTCACAATCACATTTTGTTAATTTAATTATATATATATACACGATATTTTACTTTAATCTAATTTAAACTACGAAGAAGGAGATTCGAACTCAGGTGTAGAGTGGAGAACACGTCAACTCTAATAAATTTGGCTAAATCCACACGCATTTTGTTTTTAATTAGACTGTAGGCCACATATATGTCATTGATTGATACTAAATGACTAAGAATTAAACTAGAGAGCAAATGGTTGACTAAGTATATATAAAGTGACGTCTTAACTTAATCTATAAGACAAAATAAAACAAGTTGTGATTAAATAAGAAGACTTTGCTCCAAGGGAAGAAACAAAAAGGAAGACAACCACTCTGCCCTCAGCAGCACATCAATTTTTTAACCCACTGTACAAATTTTATTTTAAATATATATTGTTCCTTATTACACTCAAATTAATAATTAAAACAAAGTTTTCAAAGACGCGACAAAGCCAGAATCGGCTGATTTTGGTAGTGAGAATCCACGACGGTTTGTGAATTTTCCGACACGACGAAGCCCTTTGCGCGATCCCTCAACTCGTTTTTGAGAACCTTGCCCGTTGGGTTCCTGGGAAGTTGGGGCAGAAACTCCACCTTCTTGGGCACCATAAAGTGAGGCAAGTTTTTCCGACAATAAGCGATTATTTCAGACTCAGTGGTGCCCTCAGCGTTGCTTCTCAGAGCCACAAAAGCACATGGACTTTCGCCCCATCGAGGGTGAGGCATTGCAACTACTGCTGCCTCCATCACCTTCGGGTGCCCATGTAACATGTTCTCCACTTCGACACTGCTAATGTTCTCTCCTCCTGATATGATCACGTCTTTCGACCTGTCCTTTATCTCCAGGTAGCCGTCGGGGTGCACAACCCCGACATCTCCTGTCCAGAACCATCCATTCTGGAATGACTTCAAGGTCTCCTTAGGATCCTTATAGTACCCTTTCATGATACTACTACCGCGCAAAACAATCTCCCCCATGGTCTTCCCGTCATGGGGTACACTCTCCATTGTTTCCTTGTTCTTCACGTCCACGTCAGCAAGAGTCAATATGCTTATGCCTTGTCTTGCCTTGAGCTTAGCCTGGTCGTCCCGAGGCAGCTTGTTCCACTTGGCCTGCCACTCGCAGACCAAGGCAGGTCCCGTTGCCTCGGTCAGGCCATACGCGTGGGTCACTTTGAATCCCAGCGGCTCAATTTTCTCGAGCAGTGGGGCGGGCGGAGGTGCTCCTCCTGTGAGGATCTGGACGGGCACTGCGAGATCACGGCGTTCGTGCGGTTTGGCATCGAGGAGGATGTTGAAGATTATTGGGGCGCAGCACATGTGGGTGACCTTGTGGCGGTGAATGTTGCGGTAGATGTCGTAGGCGGTGGTGTTGCGGAGGCAGACATTGGTGCCACCACGTGCGGCAACGCCCCATGTGAAGGTCCAGCCGTTGCAATGGAACATGGGAAGTGTCCATAAATACACAGGCTCACTCCCCATTTCCCAACCAAGGACCAGGCTGAGGGTGCTCAAGTAAGCACCTCTGTGGCTGTACACAACGCCTTTGGGTTCTGACGTCGTTCCGGAGGTGTAGTTCAAGGCCACAGGGTCCCACTCGTCGGCGACCTCCACAGAGACAAAACGGGGGTTGCCCTTTTTGATGAGCTGCTCGTACTCCAACTCGCCTAGCCGAATGCCTGTGGGGGAGTCGATGTCGTCGATCACGATGACCAAAGGCATGGATGGCTCATGAGTTGCACCGGACATGAGGATCCTGAGGGCCTCGCGGGCCAGGGGGACGAACTGGTAGTCGACGAAGAAGACTTTGGCCCCCGAGTGGCGGAGAATGGAGGCTATGTTTTTGGCATCGAGGCGGGTGTTAACGGTGTTAAGCACAGCCCCGGCCATGGGCACTGCGAAATGCATTTCATACATTGCTGGAACATTAGGAGCCAACACTGATACCTGAAATAAGCAGAACAAATTAATTTCATATTCGGGAATTAATAAACAACAAGGGTCACCAAATTTGTTAAACACGGTAACATCAACTCGGAAAAGAGAAAAAGGAAAAACACTTACAACATCGTGCTTGACGATGTTAAGAGAAAGAAGGGAGGAAGCGAGACGGCAGCAACGATCGTGGGTTTGGCCCCATGTGAAGCGAGTGCCTTCATAGATGACTGAGGTACGGTTAGCATAAAAGGCAGCAGCTCTCTTCAGAAAAGTTGTAGGGGTGAGAGCTGTATAGTTAGCCTCACATTTGGGAAGCATGTTCATTGATTCAAGGGCCATTTTGCGTAAGCTTCTTCTCTAAGTGTAGATTATTTTATATCAGAGAGA